ATTGATCAGCTGCAATAGAAGATGTCACCATTTTAAAACTTTTTCACATAATTTTTCTTTCAGTTTCTTCACCAGATTTCCATTACATTGAGTGGTAGTATTTCTGATTACATTTATCTTTGTAAATACTTACAACTTTTTGAGACACAAAATTTCTACTACATTCAACACAAATTCACTCCTTGTCCTCTGTGAAGAATTCATTGCCCCCTGTGCATTCTCCAATTATATACATAATTACTTATCTTATACACAACCAAGATAAACACTGTTGAGGTTTCAATTCTCCTTTCAGCTTGCTAGGTTTCCATCTCATATTTTTTTCCATGTCTCTGGGCTTTGTTCTGACAGCGGTTTGTTTCACGACATTGTGGTTGTGTTCTTTCGTAACATTTTTGCCGAATTCATATATAAGAATGTTCTTCAGTTTACAAAGAGGAACATGTGACCCTCTCAGTCTGTCTTCTTTTTCCTGCTCTTCAGAGAGATGTGGCCCCAGGAAATATGTTGCTTTTCTAATGCTATCCAAAGGCTGTGACTCCCACAAGCCGAAAACTTGGCATCGCAAAATGTGGAAATTACTTTTTATATCCAACTTCTTGGTCTGGTCTCCTTTTACCTGATAGGAGGACACATCCTCTTAAGTTTTCTCCAAAAGTCATTCAGCCATTTCCACCTGGACGCTGATAGGCACTATTCGTGTTGTCTCAGGATCAAGCCTAAATCTCAAACAGTAATATAAAAGGATATGTCACTTTAAAGGGCAGTGCTTCTTCACCCTCCTAAACAAATAAAAAGATTTGAAAATGCCAATGCTTAGCTTTTCTCTGAAGTGATTATTTGGAATCTGTAAGGATGGGATGGGAGCATGGATGTTTTTCAAGACCCCTTCAGGTAATGTAGGCCATGCCAGTATATGACCACAACTGAAGAGGACATTCTGAAAGAAAGCAGCCAATAGCCTAGCCCAGCTGTCTACCTACAAAATTTATTAGGCAACTGCAGTGCCAGCCCAACTGCAACCAGCCACAGTTCCGAAAGCAACCGTCCTCATAAAAAGATTATCTAGGGCAGGGAGAAGAGCGAGGGCTCCTGAATCTATGGGCACAGAGTGAAGAGCTGCTGCAGAGTCCCCACAAGAACTCGTAGGCGCTCCCACAAAACAGCCAACTCACGAGTGCAGGGCACCCCAGAAGGCGGGGACAGCCAGATGGCGTTAGCCAGGGAAGCAGCAGCAACCACACGATGGCACATTTCTAACAGCAGTCAGAGGAAAAAGGAGACGGACTCCTGTCCCCTCTCCCGCAGAGCCAAGGCTTGAGAGAGAGAGATGAGTTTCAGAGCTCACTCAGTCCCCAGCAAGTCCAGCCAGGTGGAGGAGGGTCAGCCCGGCGAGAACAAGGAAGAGGGAGGATTCAAACAAACATGAACTTCAGCCACACTGAGTTGGTTTTTTATTAGCACATGTTCGCAGCGCGGAGTGTTTCCTTTCCTTGTCTGGAGCTGGTGCGCGTACCTGACGTCACTTAGTTCTTTTTCTCATCCCCCTTCCCTGCCCTCCTCCCCCTCCATCTCTTGGTCTCCTTCCCATTTAAGAAACACCAATCTCCCCTGCTTCCTGTTATGTATCTTTATTCTGCTCTTCACTTATGGTTTGGGTTTCTCATATAGAAGAAACCACATGCATTGAGTATTGACAAGCAAAAAAGACTACAGCACATGAAACTCGCTCAAGATGTCAGTGTGGGATGGGAAAGGAAGACTCAACAGCAGAGGTGTGAGCATGCCGGTTGGGGAAAAATCTTCTTGTGTTTATCCCCTCTGGTGAGTTGCCACTGCTCCATAAGCTAATCAGGCTTTAACATTTTCTCAGTCATCCCTGTGCTCAGCAGATTTTCTCAGGATTTCTTTTCCTGTCCTCCCTGAGATGAAATCCATACTCCCTGGGGGTCACGCAAACAGTTGGCATGGTGCTGGGGTATGGAGTAGATCCCACAGCCATTCCTGTCCCTGTCCTCACATCGGCTTCAGTTGCCTCAGCTGAAGAGTCTGCATCCGATCTGAACCCGGCTTGCAAAGTCGCCTTGATGTGACCACACGATCGCTATGGGATTGGCCAACTCCTTTACAGATTTCTAAAGCCTTTCTGTGTGTACAATGAGGTGTTATCAGCATTCACAACTGGGAGACTTGAGGGCTGTTTTCCACCCTGTCTGCCTTGATACCCCTGTGCAGCTGCAAGAAGTGGGCCAAGACGGACGCCTTTCAGAGACCCTCCCCTTCTCTAGCTCTCTGTGTCTTCTCCTCCCACTTCTCTCTCCAACTTGGAAAAGCATTTTTGAAACTGTGTAGTGTTAGAGAGAGAAGTGAGAGGAAAATTACTTCCCTAGTCATGCAGTGTTCCAAATCTATACCTGGACCAAAGTTTTTGAATCTAACAGCCTCAAATTTGAAACCTTTGCTCTTTAGTTCTCCTGTAAGGTCTCCCCTAAAGTAAACATACCTCTTGTCTTAGTCTGTTCTGAGCTGTTATAACAGAATACCACACATGGTGTAATTTGCAAAGAACAGAGATTTATGTCTTTCAGTTCTGCCTGGAAAGTCCAAAGTCAAGCAGCCATGATCTGGCAAGGACAGTTTTGCTCCATCATTCCATGACAGGAGGCAGAAGTGCAAGAAGGAGCCAGAAAGGGTCAAACTTCCCTTTATAATAAGCTTACTCTTGAGATAATGAAATTAACCCATTTGCAAGAGCAGAACCCTCATAACCAAATCGTCTCTCAAAGGTCCCAACTCTTAACACTCCTGGCACTGAGGATTGGATTGTTCCAATACGTGAACTGTGGTGAGCACATTCTAACCACAGCACTTTCCTTTTAACTCTCCCAATGAGAATGTTTCTCTCTTAATTACTTCAGGAGGGCATTCAGACACAAGCCATAATGATATCATAGAAAAAGAAGTTAATTGGCCCACATCACTGCGAATATGGTGCCGTGAGTGGCTTGACTTTGACAGCCTGGCTGGGAGGCCTGGGTCAGACCTCTGCATCCATCTCCAAGCTGCTCCCCTCCTGCTTCTCTTGCTCATGCCTTGCTCATGCCTTCTCTTGCTCAGTATCTGCAGGCAGATACTGTCCACCAACTCCCGCTGCTCTCTCCTCTTAAATTCAGAGAACCATGAGTGAGAACCAACAGAAATGGTACCAAAACAAAGCAAATTGACAATGTTGTGCATTAACCTTGGAGAGACATTAATTACTGCAAACTTACAGAAGTTAGGATGAAACAAGCAAAAAGACAAGCTTTGTGTTTTGGAACATGTATGGATACTGATAAGTACTACCTTACCCCTCCAGTAGGACAAGTAACAGATGCTAGAGATTCTCTTACAGGAGGTGCAGAACTTGTTAATGCCTCTTGTTTCCAGTTTCTGTCTATAATGAATAAAGCCATTATGCTCATTCTTGTACAACTGATGTGAGCTTTTATTTTTCTGGACAATAGTTTCTCAATTTTCCAACACATTGCTTTGTCTGGTGCTATTTTATACAAATGTCATCTATCAGTGCAATACAATGGTATAAGTTTTTGACCTCTGTATTTTCAATAAAATTAATTTGGAGGTGGAGAAATCCACTTTATCATCCTTCCATTTATATTATAAATAATATAGAAGCACAAGAACAGAAGCAAATGGAAGCTGGCACCAAACCTGAGAGTCAAGGAAGTCTTAATAATATCCTAATTAGGATATACAATTAACAAACTGAAAAGTGCATGCCTTATTCAAAATAAGCAGCCAGTACCCAGCTTCAGCCAGTTCACCAGGCAGACCAAATACTGTCAAATCTAATTTTCCAAAAGACAGATTATATGTGTATACATGTATACAATCTCCTAAACTTAAATGTTGGCCAATAAAATAACACAAAGTTGACTATTGGTAGATTAAAGCTGTCCAGTGTTAAACAGAGCAGGATAAAATACAACTATAGGCCAAATGTGGCCCTTGGCTCATGAGAATCTAGCTAAGGCTTTTTTTTTCTCAAGCCTCCCTATAAGCAACATGACCTTTTTAAAACATAGTACACCTGAGGCTTATTCCAGGCTCTGATTTAGTAGATTTGGTATGAAGATGAACAAACATCTCTATATATTTTTAAAGTGCTGCAGAATTCACACTCATTCACAACTAGAGCTGAGAAGCAGGAAGTTAAATTCCAAGTTGTCATGTTTTGTCACACTTCCCAACTCCTACCTCATGTTCAGGACACACCGAAGTCTTCTCAGGATGAGTCCACCTGCTTCCGGGCTCACATAGTCATGTGGAGCTTTGTAAGTTTTAGCTGGTGACACACACAAAATGAAAACTGACTTTCTTGCCTTCATTTTACCCAAGTCATACACAATACTGGCTTTTCTGTGTTTGAAGATATTATATTAGCTGGCCTTTACGAAAGAAACTTGGTTTTAAGTAGAAGATGTTCACTGAAATCATGGGAATTTCCTTTTCACATATATAGTAGCTATAGAAATAAAAGCCTATCCCAAATGAAAAGAGATGAGAAAAGATGCAGGAGAAAAGCAAATAAAAGACTCTAAGTCTCTAAGTTAGCAGTATGAGATTTTATGATAACTTAAAAGTAGCACGGGTCTTATGAGACCAAAAAACCATGGGACACTGAAGATTCCTGGTTTGGTATTCTTGCCCTATTCGGGGTGGGAATGGGGGATATCAATTGAAAGGAAATAAGATAGGGAGGTGTGGTGTTTGGCATGCCTTGCAAATTCTATCCAATGAACTTCTCTCTATTGAGACAGCAGTTACCAGATCCTCTCATTATTTGCATGTTAATTTTCTAACTTGTCATGTAATAAACAAATGAAGAAAACTTAGATTAACTACAGGGAAAAGTACAATAATGTTGAGTGGAGGTCACAGGATTTCACAGTAGTCACCAGTTCCTGGGGTGGAGACCCGAAAGTTACTGAGGAAGAATGGCGGTAGTGGAACGAGATGCCACTGAGGAAAACCTTACTGCGTTTAAAATCACCTTCACCTTGGTGGTCTTTGGCACAGAATGCATAACTGGTATACTTGGAAATGGCTTCATCACAGCTGTGTATGGAGCTGAATGGGTCAGGAACAAGAGACTCCCCACCGCTGATGGCCTTATGTTGATGCTGAGTTCTTCCAGAATTGCACTACAGATTTGGTTGATGGTGACTATTACTTACAGTCACTTCTTCCAGCACATCTATTACCAAAAGTCAGTGTATCGACTCTTCAAAATCGCACTTGTGTTTCTGAACTATTCCAACCTCTGGTTTGCTACCTGGCTCAATGTCTTCTATTGTCTTAAAATTGCCAACTTTGCCCAGCCTTTGTTCTTGATGATGAAGAAGAAGATTAGGGTGCTGATGCCTTGGCTTGTGAGTCTGTCACTGTTGGTTTCCTTCAGCATGAGTTCTCTTTTCCTGATAAACACCTTCAATACGCATGTAAATAGTTCCATTCCTGTCCCTTCCTCCAACTCCACTGAGAAGAAGTACATCTCTGAGACCAATGTAGTCAACCTGAGTTTTTTCTATTACATGGGGATCTTTATTCCTCTGATCCTGTTCATCATGGCAGCCACTCTGCTGATCATCTCTCTCAAGAGGCACACCATGCACATGAAAAGCAGTGCCACAGGCTCCAGGGATCCCAGCATGGAGGCTCACTTGGGAGCTATCAAATCCACTAGCTATTTTCTTATTCTCTACATTATCAATGCACTTGCTCTGTTTCTAACCATGTGCAACGTCATTGACACATACAGCCCCTGGGGTGTTTTCTGCAGATTCATCATGGCTGCCTACCCAGCGAGCCACTCAACGCAACTGATCTTGTGTAATCCTGGGCTGAGGAGAGCCTGGAAGAGGTTTCAGCACAGAGTTCAGCTTTATCTTAAAAAATAAATTCACTGAGTGAAAGCCAAGGGATGTCATAAGATCTCGCCCAACCACTCTGCCTTTTCCTCACCCAAATCTCTCTTCAACCATTTTGTTCTCCCTCCAACATGCTCTGATGTTTCTTCTCAGGTGGCTGGCTTAGTTCATGAATGCAAAGCCACATTTTTAAATTCTGATTCTAAGCAAAAGTAGCTAATAAACTTGAAGATGGACTTTGAAAAGCTCCTTGATCCAGACTCATTCCTATCTCTCCCTGGGTTCTTGTCCACTCTCCCTTGACCCTGAGCCTTAAAAGGAAGGTGACCAGATCTCACCTTGCCTAGGACAATTTTGCTTGGTGTCTGTTGTCCACTGAGAACCACTTAATTGTCAAGGTTATCTTGGCCTGAGTGAAAAGAAAGATGGTCATCTGCCCTACACACCTGACTAACCCATGTTAGGGGAAAGAAGGCTCATAAAGAGATGGCATGCAGTCTAAGAGGGAGAAAGAAAACCAGAATATTTACAAATAAAAAGGATTCCCGAAGGAAAGGCTGTCAGCATCATCAAGTGCCACAAACCTTCCAAGGAAAGGGAAGCTTGAAGAAAAGCTTTGTATTTAACGATATGCACAGAGGCCTTGTGCACTGATAGGGGACTGACAGGGTAGCATCCAGATTCCAGAAATTTCCAGGCATGCTGATGAGACAGTGAGAGTGTACAGAGAACAACAATGTAGGAGGGCATTTTGAAACAAAGGTGAAATAGAGGAGTGTGGGCAGATGGTCAACCTACTAGTTTTTCTTGTTGCTGCTGTTGCTGTTTTGGTTTAGATTGTTTTGGTCTTGTTTGTTTTCTTTGTTGTCCAATGCTGGGGACTGAGCCCAGGGCTTTTGCGCAGGGTTACATCCTCAGCCCTTTTCTTATTTTTTAATTGTGAGACAGGATCTTGCTAAGTCTCTAAGTTAGCCAAGCTAGTCTTTCCTTGTAATTCTCCTGCCTCAGTTTCCCAAGGTGCTGGAACTACAGGCATGAACTACCAATGTCTATCCTGAGTGTCTTCATTTCACTTATCTTGGCCTAAGTGAAAAAAAAAGATGGTCATCTGCTCTACACACCTGACTAACCCATGTTAGGGGAAAGAAGGCTGATAAAGAGATGGCATGCAGTGGGAGAAGATAAAATGAGAAGAGAAGAAAAGAAGGATAGAGGAAAAGAAGTGACATGAACAGAAAGCATAAAGAGGCCAGAGCAAGGGAGCTTTTTTTGTTTGTTTGTTTTGTTTAGCGCTTGAGTCTGTGGCAAAGCAATCAGCACCTATGCCTCCAGCTCTACCAGTTCTGGGCCACCTGGACTAAAGAATGGCTGGTACAGGTCGCCTTGGAGTGGCTGTTTAAGAAAGAAAACATTCCTTGTTAGAAAGGTATTATTAGCATTGTCACAAACAGTCATTCACAAAATAAGACACCTCACCCAAGACATCTTGTAACTGGACAATTAGAAATGTTAGTTTTTTTTTTTGTAGGTATTTTTAAAAATTGTAATTATTCTGGCAAGTGTAAAAAGAATGCTGCTGCTCTTCACAAAGAGCCCTGAAATCAAAGTGTGATATTGGTAGCAAAGACTTAATCCTGTGTTCCTGGGCTCCCAAGTGTATCTCACTTCACAAACTTAATTCACTCCATGATTCTAGGATACATGGTCTGGGGAAGGTGGTTACATTCATGTTCATCATCTGATGTGGCATTCACAAACAGAAGCAAAATTTTGCCAAACACTTCTGTTTGCAAACCAAATTGCTTGCACACAGAAGCGTTGGTGAACTGAAGCACTAGTGTATTTCAGAAACTTCTTTATATTAGTCAATTGCAAAAACACACATGCATGTGCACACACACACACACTCTCACACACTCACCTATATTCTTTTATAGTTCAGACTCTAGCCTAGGACTCACTTAACTGAAAGTAAAATATTTATGAAAATGTCCAGCCTTGGTTGCTTGCTGAACCGATGCCTTATTTAAGATCAGTAGAGTTGTTATAGTAAGGCAAACTAGATTATAAAGTGTTATTCCAATTCCTAAAGAATAGAGAAGTGTGCATTTTTTCCAAATAATAAATGCCAATTAGTGAGCAGCCACACCCACTAAGTATACTCTCATGCATCACCCAGAAAAATAAAAAATTTATTTGAAGCTGCCATTACTTGGATATAAACCATGCCAAGATAACAAAATGGATAATCCCTCCCCAGATTTATTATGAAGAACTAATCATCCCACCATTTGCAGAGCTTAAGCAAAGAACGGAGGAGAGCTTCAAGGACAATGACATTCTACTGATGCTCTGTGTCGCCCTGCCTTCAACCAAGTAAAGTTCTTTCCAAGTCTTCCTTCTCTCAGTTCTCCTGCTTTACATAAAGCCCAACTAAACATCCAGAAAAGGACAATGTACAGGGTCTTCAAATTAGTTTTAGACAGAAAATCCAAAGCTTGAGACAAAAATTGGATTCTGCTGGATTAAAGTTTGTAACCAAAAACAAAGCCTGGCTTGCTGTTGTCCTAATATCTTGGCTGGAGCCACCTGATCCAGCCCCCTCTCATCTTCCCCAGGGGAGGTTACAAGCCTTCCTTGACCCACACAGTCATACTGGGTTTTTTTAAAGCACATGGAAGAGCTCAGGAGTACTTGGTGGCTGAGTGCTTCCAGTCTGAAAGAGACAGAGTGTCTGCTTCCTTCTCTCACACCCGCTCAACACAATCCACCTGAGACAAGTCTTGCGCTGGGAGAGGGGAGTGGAACCAAGGCAGGAATCAGAACCATCACAGAAAGAGAGCAAAATAGACACTGAGAGAGGGACCTTTCCTATCTGACTCAGGTTCTCTGGCAAGAAGTAGAAACTTTAGAGGAGAACTGATAGGAGTGGAAATGTCTTGTGTATCCAGAAAGATTGTTTTGTGAGAGCAAGAGGAAGGTAGGAAGGCTGAGGAGCTCAGTCCTCGATGTTTGAAGGCTGGAGGAGCTCTCTGTACTCTTTCCCAAGCCAAGGAGAAGAGGTGTAACTCAAGGGAGATAAATGTCAAGAAATGCTCATCTTGGGTGACCCTGGGAAGAGGTAACACCTCACAGTGACAGATGTTTCCATGGATGAAAGAAGTAAGAAGCACCCTGGAACCTGGGGTGTGGCCCAGGGAAGGTAGGTCTGGGCAGGAAATGGCAGCAGATGGCAGAAAGGATGTGGGGTCAGGGGCCAGAGCAGAAGAAACCCTCACTCGGAAGGTATGAGGTGTTGGGTGCTGAAGTCAGCCTCAGTCGGTCTCAGCGGGGAGAAGCGCTCCACAGACAGACATGGTCCAGGCCTTTGGGGATTCTGTCTAATGCAGTGAAACAGGCAGTCTTCGAAGAGCGAGCCGCCGAAAGGACCACCTCTATCTAGCTGGGACACTTCCAGTTTGAGGTGAGACACTGTCAGGATGCTCACTGTCAACCAGTCTCCTTGGGGGAAAGCCTATTTTTAATGTTCCAGCTTTTCTTTCATTTGATTTTCATTTTTTTAAAGAAAGTGTCTTATGTATGTCTCATCTCTCAGTTCATCAGAAAAATAAAAGAGGAAAGTGGCTTTAAAGACAATCCAAAGAAAAGAATCAAGAAGCCCCTGGGCTTGGGGGTGGCTGGGCAGTGAGCAGGGGTGCAGGGAAGACTGCCAAGGTGGAAGGGGAATGGGAAAACCTCCAAGGCTCCTCAAGGAGCTGCCCCCGCCCGCCCTCCATGCAATCTCTGGAGTCATGAAGCAGTGAGAGTCCTGGCTCCGCTATTTCCTGAGATGGGACATGGGCAGGCTGTTGCATCTCTCTACATCAGTAAAATGGAAATCATTACTGTAATCATAACATCTACCTCCTAGGATAATTTCATTGTATGAGATGAGTGAGCTAGTGTTGGGTGCACAGTGAGTGGTCCAGGCTAAGCCGTCAGTAAATGTCAGCCCTCCTCTTCTAAAGAGAAGCAAAGTGAGGCTGGGAGGCTGGGTATCTAAACTGAGGATGTTCAAACCATGGCCACTTGTGGAAAGCCCAGAGCCCACCCAGACTGCATCAGCTGCACACAGCAGCCTGGGCTTTTACAGTTGGGAGACTTGGGGGCAGAACATGGACGCAGCATCAGTGGCACAGCACCTACCTGAGCGGAAGTGAAAAGAGAAAGACACCCTGCAGCTTTCAGCTCTGCACCCCCACCTGGTAATGTCAGAAAGGCAAGCAGCAAGCATGCTGCCTGAACTGCTGCTTCCTCCAGAACAGGGCACTAGGTTAGGGACGAGCAAACGCTTTCTGTCAAGGGCCAGCTAGTCAATATTCTTTTACAGGAGACATAAGGTCCCTGTCACAAGTATTTACCTCTTCTTTCATAGCACAAAAGACACCAGAGACAATGTACACATGCAAACTCATGGCTCTGCTCCAAGAAAATTTTAGTATGGACACTACAATCTGAATTTGATATTACTTTCATGTGTCATGAAATATTACTCTTCTCTTGATTTGTTTTCAATCACTTAAGAATGCAGAAGAAACATTCTAAATTCCTGGGCTAGGAGAGAGAGATAGAGACAGGGAGACAGAGAGAGAGACAGAAAGAGAAAAAGAAAAAGAAAGAGAAAGACAAAGACAAAGAGAAAGAGAGAAAGGGAAAGGGAAAGAGAAAGACAAAGAGAAAGAGAGAAAGGGAAAGGGAAAGGGAAAGGGAAAGGGAAAGGGAAAGGGAAAGGGAAAGGGAAAGGGAAGAGGGGTGGTCTAGACTTGCCCGGAAGCTGTAGACTGCAGGCTACGTCCCTAGATACAGTTCACTATGAACGATGGGTAGACATCATGATAACTTTTGCTGTGTTTTTAACATTTCAGCTTCCCTGATATTTTGCCACTTTCAATTTCTCCTGCTTTTCTCCACCTTTTTCAATCTTGAAAATACAATCTTTTAGTTTTCTGTGAAAGCAAACAAAGACATAACACCCACTCAGATCACTGTGG